AGTTTGTAAAAAAATTAAAAATTGTTGTTTTATTAAATCGAGTGGGTGTTTTATTCGCAGTCTTATCGTTGCATCTCAAATTACTCTTAAGTACTTACGGTCGGAGACAATGATGATGGCGGGATGGGGAGAATTTAATTTACGGAAGCGCGTTTTCTTAATAAATAGAGGTTCGGATTTGTTGATCCGATGGTTTGCCTGATTAGTAACATCAGAAACTTGAAAGATTTTGTATGCAATTCAAAACTCACCAGATTTATTTTGTTAGTTTGTGTTTGTTTTTTTTAATGGTGTGTTAATGAGGAAGATCCGATGTTAAATAAGCCCTAAAAGTGTTTGGAAACTATCAAAACCAAACATCAAATCAGCATATTATAAATTTTGTAAGTAGCATCGAACAGGCAAAACATGCATATAAGAAAGAATGTTTTGGCAAAAATAAGTGTTTAAGCGCACAGAATATTTAAGGCCTTAATTTCGTGTTCGTTCAGTATTCAATTGTAAAATTGCAGCAATTTGGGATGCATGATGACCAATTTAAATTTGTGTTTATTTTTTTGGTAAAAATTTCTATGTAGATATTCGAAAATTTGTTGCACAGTTTTTCAAAAAAAAAACATTTTTATTAAAAATATCGATAATATGTTTTCTTCATAATTTGTTATGTTTTTGATTTCTGAATGAATGTTGTTCCATTGCGGGTCTCAAACATAGAACTTTTAATGAAGATACGAACGGAACAGATTTTAAATGAGTTAGTTAGCATAAACTAAAAAATAATAAATACATTTCCACTTTAATGTATATTCGGAAACATCAATTTAAAACCGTCTTAAAAGCTCGAGAAATGGCATTATAATGTTTGCATAGATTGGGAAGTAACGTAATTATCGCTATGGCGAGATACGCGCAGAGCTTTATTTGTCAAATAAGTAGCTTTTCTGGAAGCTTTCCAAGTAATATGTTTTAGCGCCTGAAACTAGCCCCAGTTTTGGCCCCGTTCTTAAGGCACCGCGCGCTCTTTTGACGTTAAAGTAATTGCTCAAATAAAATAAATTTCTTGCCAAAAATTGTGCGAGTCAGTTTTTTATCGGTTGAAAGGTGAAGAAAAAGGCTTGTAATAAACAAAAAAATGGGTTAAAAGATTGATCAAAACTTACATACATAATAACTTTTATTTTAGGCAAATAAAATACACTACAGAAAAGAGCAGGAAATGAATGAATAAATTAATATAGAAAAATCTAGTCTCTATTAACGTCTCTAAAATGTCTAAAAGGCGCAAGTTTCATTTGAATGGCCCAATTTTAATTAAACTTGATCTGTTTCTGCACAGGCTGAATTTAGTGTTAGTTAAATTCATCAGTTAACTTTCTCCCTATTCAGCTCTAAATCATTAATATAATGATGTCACAAAGAAATTAATGCAACAGCAAACATAAAAAATTCCCTACAAGTGCGTTTTTTCATCAAATGTGTATTATTTTAGTATTTGAAACAATTCGTTTTCCTGAAGAAGGCGATGAGTTGTTTGTGTATAAAATCATTTTACATAATTAATATTCCGATTTATTACCATCAAAAATCAAATTAATGTCATTGCTAACGGGATGAAAGTAGTTGTTTTATTAGCTATTTATTTGTGGAAAGTCGGCTACTTTGGAACCAAATAAATAAATATTCTGTCTTGGCTGGCTTGGAAGTGAGTTGCTCACATTTTGGAGTTTTTAGTCTCTAATAATTAATTTAAAAAAAAAACTAGATGAAAATAAAACTTTGTTGCAATATTGATTGAAACCGAAGGAAAAATCAAATTTATTTTTCTGAACTGAACTATATTATTTATTTATATTTACTAGTGATTCTTCCAAGAGCACTTTTGCACTGTTCCTTATTAGACACTCTCCTAATGTTTTATACAGCGCTTTTAGAACATTGTTAATTTTTTCGGTTTGTTGATATATCAATAAATACTATTTTGATTTATTTTCCTGACTGCGTGTAATTGTTATTATATTTTTTTCCTTCCTGGGTTTCAGTCAAGTGTGAAATATTTTTTTTATATCGTGTATTTCATAACGTTTCGGCAAGACAACAGCGCCATGATCAGATTTAAAATTCATGCAATCTACAAACACCAATTTACAATTAAAATATATGTTGTACAAAAAGTATAACTTATAAGGCGTTAAAACATTCATTAGTTCTTGAGGGAAAAAACCTTTCTTTTTGGGAGCGCAAAACATTTGAAAGGCTAACCTCATAATTGGGAAATATTAGATTCTTTAGGTCTTTGCTGTCTAGACAATAGTTCGAACAAAATTGAGGTTTCAAGACAGCAAAGACCTAAAATAATCTAATATTTCTCAATTATGAGGTAAGTTTTTCAAATGTTTTGCTCTCCCAAAATGAAAGGTTTTTCCTGAAAAACTAATCAATGTTTCAACGCTTTATAAATTATACTTTTTGTACAACATATACATATTTTAATTGTAAATTGGTATTTGTAGTTTGTATGAAATTTAAATATGATGATGACGCTGTTGTCTCGCCGAAACGTTATAAAATACGCGATATGAAATTTTTTATTTCACACTTTAACTGAAACCCAAGAAGGAAAAGAATGTAATATCTAATAATTAAGAATTTCTTTGCGTAATATACTGCAATGTTGGAAGAAAAGACACAAAAATATACGCTAAAATGTGATAAAAGCTAAGGACTGAACTGGAAAGGTAAAGTTCGTTTTTGTGCTTTTCGTTTGAGATTTTTTTGCTGATATCGTTCAAGGATCATCTCATTATATTTCGCTTTCTGTATCTTGATTCGCCTCTGATTTTTTGCTTCATTTACTTCAAGTAAATGTGCATTTGGAATACTACTTTAAATTTTATTCTAACGAAACGTCCGGTCGTCATTTCATTAATACTCTTAATTTTGTTTAATATGCTTAGTTCTTTTAAAGTTTACATTGTTTGGCGTTTTCACAATCTAATTGCTATTAGCTTTGAACATTTTCCTGGTAAATTTAATATTTTGTATGTTCGTATGCCCATTTCGAGTTGTTACTAGAACCCCTCGGTTAACTGAAAGCGTTACTTTTCCATGTTCGAAAAGGTGTCTTTGTTTAGTAAAGTTCGGGTTTTAATAAAAAAAATATTATATATCTAATTCATGTTAATGTTTCCATTCCTGTTCTGACAGGTAAATGTTATGTAAATCCGATTTCTCCCAGAGTATCTCAATTTTGACCCGACACTTATTCCTTTTAGAGCCCTCGAATTGCGACAGCAAAACAGATTAAGTTACTGACTTTTCCATTTCCAAATTAGAGCTAAACTTAGTTAAATAAAGGAAAGTTTTCTAAGCTTTACTGTTTCAGGCTCTTCAGGCTCCTTATATTAAAACGTAATCGCGCATGCATAATGAATATTTATTGCTCATCCTCGGCACTAATTGCAGCCAGGTTGTGTTTCGTAACGGAGCAAAAAGCATTTCTTTTGTCGCAATTCAACAGCACTATTTCTAAGTTATTTGCAAATTGTTCTCTTCCTTATTTCCGGGAGCGATTTTTTTCTGAATAGATTCCGACATCGAATCGGGTGAAATGTCGGAATACTAAAACGAAGTAAAAGAAAGAATCGACAATTCCCCGTTGAGATATTGCTTTGACTTTTGTCATTGCATTCGGAAGCATATTTTCGAATAAGCTTTGCAATTTTATTGAAATGTATTTTATAGGGCGATTGGGCTGGGAGTTCGTAATAGAGTCATAACAAGAAAAATATCTTCAAGTGGATAATGAGGAAACGTTTTCGCCCAAGCTTACCCTGATTACTTCGGGACAGGCGTAATGAGGTGATCCGCAGCTGGTTTCTAACATAGAACCCATTGGTTGTAAGGAGGCCATCCCAAAATCGGCTATTTTGATGTTATTTTTCTCGTCTAGTAGGAGATTCTCAGGTTTTAGGTCTCGGTGGCTGAAAAAAGCATCTTCAATTGAATTTCAATGACTGGTGTATATTCAAATAAAATTATTTTCGGTTATTACGCGCGGATTATCCGGACGACTGGTTACCCGGCTCGGAAGTTGACTCTAATTAAAGTAGTTTGTCTATTAGGGAAACTTGAACCAATCTACTGAAACGTGAAAACAAACTTCTCTGTCTACAATTTACTAGCGAAGCTCTTTTCGAAACCGCAACCAAGTTTTGGTTTGGATTATTTTCTTTGTCGCGAATTAAGCTCGAGATCCATTTCTGCATTTAGAGAGGATTTACTTTCTGATTACGAAGCGATTGGTTCGAATTACATCACACATACCAAATGCTATGACTATGGCAAAAGTCCAGGGCTGATATGATTTGCCTGAAGAATCTTCGGGCTTCTTTGGGTGTCAGTCGGCCCTTCTTAACGAGATAGTCGAACAGTTCTCCTCCGGATACGTGCTCGAGCACTAAATATCTGAAATTAGCGAAAGTATAAGTTAATTACGGTACATATGTGGCGAAAGTTTGCAACTTGAGAACTTGCAGCTGAATACATCCCTCTAGAGTTTAGGGGCTTTTAGTTAGAGCTACGTGATTTAATGTAATGCCTATAACTACGAGCTTCTGGTTCGCAATCATAATTTGTCGCTGAATCTCGCCACTTTATTGTTTCAAATACGTTTCTATGCGTTTATAAGATTAATAGAATTGCTGCAAGTTTTTTTGAAGAGACTGCAGCAAATAATTTGAAATTCTTATTCAAAACTTGTATTTATTGATGATCTGATTTGGAAAGTGAAACATTGGTCATTATGTGAAGACAGAAATCGTTTTAATGCAGCTTCAAACCAGCAGGTTGCATTAATTTTTATCAACTTTAAACGAGCAGCATTTGACACACATAAGTGACACCAAAAAGCTCTATTTTACACATCCCCTAGTCAGCAATTTGCAAATAATCAACCCCCCATTTAAGGTTAATGCCCCAACTGAAGTCCCTCTAATGGATAGACGAACTTGCTGCTAACATCAGGACAGAGCATCATTAATAATACAAGATTCCCCTTAGAGTCAAAGGCTTCTAAATTGTATACAAGTATCCAAATCACCAGCGAGCATTTAGCGAGTTTCTAGTGAAAGAAATTTGTCTTATATGCCCATTTGTTATGCTAATTTCAAATAGCTTCTTTAATCCGGCAGCTTTTAGTCGAATATACTTACAGATACTTTTTGTTTTCGTAGACGTCCGCCAATCCCAAGACGTGCGGATGATCTATTAGTTTCATTATGGCTATTTCTCGTTCCACCTGCAAAAAAATCCCGAATATTGAAATGGGGTGCAAATGAGGGTTCTAATTATCAGAAACTTTCCTCATTATAAGTTCCACCAGCGGGGGAAAAACCCCTGAAGTAAAAGCTCCCTAACGAAGCCAATAATGTTAATGCAACAGATGGAGTTTGGCGTCCAAATTTGGAAAAGATTGAAATCAAATTTGAATATGTGATGTTCTGTGAATAATTCGAATTTATGTTTATTCGGATTTCGCCGAAAAAATCGTTTAAGTCGGTTCTAATATGCGATTTGCGCCAAATCCATTGGAGCATGGGTGTAACGTAATTTGAGAATTGATAGGCGGTTTACAGCCATTTTAGCTTAAATGCTGGAAAGCGTTAATCTTAGCGACGGCGAGGGTGCGTGACATCAATCGGAGTTAGTTGAAATATTCAGTCTGGATAGAGCCAGATAGAGCCGTTGCTGGATGCATGTTATGCAAATATCTGTCTCTCTCGGTATAGGGATTGCTCTATATGTTCCTCGTGCGGAATATTCCGGTTTTACTAGGGGATGGATTAACTAAGCCAGAGAGACATGAAGAAAATGTTTATCCATTAGCTTCAGTCTGTCCACCAGTTTTTTTGTGAAAAGTGGATTCTTTTGTGGAGATTTCCCCATCGGAGCAACAGTTCAAAAGCGTTTTCCGGCTACTTTACGGCTCGTTTGCTTGCTACAACTTTCTATGATTTTTCGTGTCTATTTGCTTCTTCAACGCAAGATGAAAGGACTCATGTTGCTATTTTGCCTTTGGTTTATTTTTGGAAAGTTTCGATTTTTTGCATTAACTGCATTTTTAAACGACGAAATTGTATTTGAATTTACATAAAAAATGTCAGATGTATTTGATAATTGCTGCGACAGTGGCTGGGATTTGGAACGCGATTCTACAGCAGAAAAAATCAGGATCTAGTGCGATTTCACTAAAAATTTCCCAATTTTGACACTCAACTGTACTATATTTTGCAAGCAGATTTTTGCAAGCAGACAATTTTTTAAGAGAGTGCTTTTTGGGCTGAAAACATACATTTTTGCAACCGCGTTTAAACAGCTAAAAAATCAAGATCTAGCGCGATTTGAATAAAAATGCTCCAATGTTCAAACACTGGCTACAATACGTTGCAACACTTTCAACTTTATACTTGCCCCAGATGAATAGTTACGAATTTTTTTAAAGAGAGCGCGATTTTGGCTGGAAACATTCATTTTTACAGCCGCTGGTAAACAGTATAAAAAATCAAAGTCTAGCGCAATGTTAACAATTCTTTCAAGTTCGCAGATGCCCAAGATTAATAGTTGGGCATTTTTTAATTATTTTAAAATTTTTAATTAACTTAATGGCAAAATCTAGCGCATTTTCTCCAAAATTTTGTCAAATTCAGCTGTTTAGTATATTTTGCAAACATTTCCAGTTCGCACATACCCAAAATTAATATTTAGGAATTTTTTAAAGACGGTTTGCTTTCGGCTAAAAACTTTTGCTTTTTATTCGGAACGGTTCATTTTCACACCCGCGTTTTAACAGCAGGAAAAATGAAGATCGAGCACGATTTCAAAGAATATTTATCTGTTTTCAGAACTAAACTTTTTACTGTCTCGGGTTAAACTTTCAAGTTCGTATATGCCCCAGATTTGTAGTTACGATTTTTTACAGAGAGCGCGTTTTGCGCTAAAAACGTTATTTTCTAGACTGTGTTTAAACAGCAAGAAATAATCAGGATCTAGCATAATTTCAATAGAAACTAGTCGATTCTCAAGCTCAACTGTAGTATATTTAGCGAAACGTTCAAGTTTGTGCTTGCCCCAGATTAGTGGTTACGAATTTTTCAAGGAAAGAGCGCTTTTCACTAAAAACGTTCATATTTTGACCGCGACTCAGCAGCAAAAAAATCAGAATCCAGTGCAATTCCAATGAAAATGTATATTCTTGAGAATATAAATTTCAACCATTTTGACAAATTTTGAAGTATTCACTGTCCCCAACTTAGTTGTTATGAATTTAAAAAAAATAGCGCGATTTTGGCTAGAAACTTTCATTTTTACACCCGCGTTTTAACAGCAGGAAAAATGAAGATCAATCACGATCTCAAAGAAAATTTATCTGTTTTCAGACTAAACTTTTTGCTGTCTCGAGCGAAACTTTCAACTTTGCATAYGCCCCAGATTTGSAGTTACGACTTTTTTACAGAGAGCGCGTTTTTCGCTAAAATCGTTCTTTTCTAGACTGTGATTAAACAGTAAGAAATAATCAGGATCTAGCATCATTTCAATAAAAAGTAGTCGATTCTCAAGCTCAACTGTCTAGTATATGTAGCGAAACTTTCAAGTTTGTGCTTGCCCCAGATTAGTCCTCAACTTAGTTGTTACAAATTAAAATAAAATAGCGCGCTACGATTAAACAGTGAAAAATCAGGATCTATTGTGATTTCACTAAACATTTCTCAATTCTGAGACTCAACTGTCTACTATATTTTGCAAAACAGGAAAGTGCGCGTTTGCTCCAGATTAGTAGTTACGATTTTTTTAAGGAGAGCGCGCGTTTGATTAAAAACGCTCATATTTTGATCGCGTCTTTCTGCGTTTTTCTTTAGAACTGTTTATATTTAGACCCGCGTTTAAGCGGCAGGAAAAAACCAGGATCTAGCAAGAGTTCAACGAAAATTTTTCAATTCCCAATCTCAACTATCTACTATATTTTGAAAGACTTTCAAAGTTTCTACACTAATAAAAAACTAATAATTTAAAAAATGTTAGAAATAAAATTACAATTAGCGTTGTTGAGGAGTATGCGAAGTTCGTATACTGTATGTATATTCATGTATATTCACCTTTTTTAGTTTCCACATTTCGATCTTAATGTTTACTCACTTCACCAACACACATTTGAAAAATGTCTTTTGAGCAAAATTGATAATGTTTTTAGGAGTTCTAATTGCGCAGCCTAAAGCATGTTTAAGAAACCCATTTTTATAAACATGAGTAAACTCTACTGTTCAAATTTAAATTTGATTGGACAAATATCTCTTAGCTTTATATTCCTTTGCAAATATTAACTAGCAACATCAAAGGTATACCCGGTTAAACCCAATCTAACAAATCTCCTTTTCAAATAATGGTAAAATCTAGCACAATTTGGCTTCCCTTCACAATCTAATTTCAATTTGATGAAACCTCGTTAACAACTTTCGGTGAAGTTCTGCAATAAAATCGGTATGTTTCGACAGGTCTTGTGGGGGTTCTCTCATCAACTCGCTTTATCAAAAATGTATGTAACGACAATCGGAAAAACTGAAAATGATTGACACCATCAAAGAGGGTCGATAGTCTCCTGCTTGTATTTGCTGCAGAGAGAAAACATTACTTTTACACAGAATATCTCATTGCTTTTGTTTTAATTGTTTGTGTGTCCTTAAACGTTTGAATTCGTCACCCATTAGCTGGCATGGGTGGTGGGCAACTAATCGATTTTCATGATTTATTCAAAAGAAGGTCAAGCGCTATAGAAAAACTTCCATGTACATCGTTGCGAACTTCTTCGGGTCATGAGCCGGGAATAGGGAAAATCGTCTTGAAATATAATCTCGAACCGGAAATGGAAAAGCTTACAGTGATTGACGCAAAAAAGAAGGATTTTCATTTTCATACTTTTTCCTTCCTTTTGTTGAGAGATTTGTGCTCGGTGAAGAGTCACGAAGGAACGTAAATATTTCACTTTTTGTGCCATTTCCGTCTTATTAAAGCATCCGGCTTTAGATAACTCCAACTCGGGGGAAAATTACGTAATTAACTTAGATAGATGACTGATTTATTGATAGCACTTAAGTAATTGAAATTAATATACCTTCCTAATTTTTCTTTTATTTATTGCAGGAAATTTATATTATGGTAGTAGTGTATAAAAGCAGTATCCGTAAAAAGGTGTTTTTCACTTCCTATTTGCTACCAAACAAGAGCTTAGATTAAATCTTTTAACATGCCCCATATCGTCTGTTGTGTATTCGGAAAAAATGCGCTCCATAAATATTTTACGCCCGTGAAATAAACTTTTATGCTAATGCTTTGCTCATTGTCCCCAATTTTATCCATTTGCATTTAACACACTCACTCATATTACAAAATGAAAAAGTTAATAATCATCTAAATGGTGCTCGAATTGTTTTTAATTTTTTTATGATTTTTTTCTCATAAACTAAATTTAGGACATACACATTTGAAAGTGCAATGGAGGGCTGATTTTTCGTATGTTTTCAATTAAACTTCTGAAAATCGGTGTGTATTTACATAAACTCAGCGCTCGTAGCCGATCGAAGGCCCCGATTTCGAGTACATCCAATCCAGTTTAATGAGTCAATATATACTTTTCGAAATTATTGCATTTGTTGAAAATAACATTTATGTATATTTTAGTTCGCATTATTAATATAATACATAAAATAATAATACAAAAGTTGCTTCGCATCAGCTGAGTTTTTATGCACTGAACCTCATAGATCGATTTTTGTTTCAATTTTACCGGTTGTAGGCAGTTTGTTTGGCTTGAATTTTTATTTGCCTTGAATTTCTAGTGTAAGGTATTTTTTTATAATTTGTTTCATACATTTTTTGGAATTGGTGGACTTTATTCAAGCCAAAGTCTCCACCGTGTATAAAAACGGTACTTTTAAGCGATTATTTGCACAAGTTCCAGCAAATTAAACTATTCTGTTTATTTTCAATCGAGTTTGTGTATTAAATATTGCACGTATCGAGGAAATTTGCTGTTGGCAAAATCGACTCAACATCCCCATTGATGAAATAAGTTAGCTGTTTATAGATAGAGTTTCAGAATAGCAAGAAATGCAGGTTCGTAAATAATTCGAAAGCGAGCGGCAATTTGAAATTCATGTTTCCAAATAATCTGGAAAGTTGCACATTAACAGTCAAACAATTTACTGCACATCCAACGAATAAATTAACTGGAATGTTATTAAATTCGACCGATTTTCAAAGTTATCACTGAATTAAAAGGCTAAATAGAGTTACATGGCCACTAATGAAAACGTTTACATTAAAGAGCGTGAGGAAATTATCTGCTTCCAACAACCATAAAAATTGGGGAAAAATATTCAACTAAAAGAAATTGTTGAGTTGCATTTTTAGCTAACATTGTAGGTAGGAGAAATTAATTTTTGTTTAATTCAGTTTGCCTTCAATACAAGAGAATATAATTTCACTTTTGAGCCAACAATTGTAATCAAAATATTTTTCAAAGCTGTTTCAAAGATTTAAACTGCAAGAATCTTGGCAGTTTTCGTACGATCTAATGAAAAATTCGCAGATAACCTAGGCCAATAAATTCCTGCAAGTCTCCAAAGCTTCACAAATAAAACGAAAAGCACGAACTAACTGCTCTTCTTCTCCAACTTGGGCAATTTCTTGCTGGCATCTGCTCCTTTTCTGCTCGTCATTTGTTAAAGTGGCTCTGTGCAATATTTAACCCCGCTTTCTCGAAAATGGTTTTTAACATATTCCTTCAAACGTTCCAATCTCCGGGTTTAAAATGCACGAAAACGTTCAACTGTGGAGATTTTGATATTGATTGTGCAGAAGCCAGCTTTGAACGAATGAACATTGTCCAAACGCTTACCTTCATTAGAACACTTTCACTCAGCTTCTCCCTGTTAATTATCTTAATGGCGACTTTCTTTCCGGTTACGCATTGCACTCCAAGCTTAACCAGACCTGAAACAAATACATTAATTAATTAACGATCTTGATAAATGAGATATTCCAAACGAATCCACTTTGCGGAATCTAATCAAAAAGTGATTACTCTTAGGAGTTCAATTGGCTTGGCGTTGGACTATTGCGGATGATGGCCCGCGCTTTTTTAAGCGTTTATTAGCAGCACTATTTATTTTACTAATTTATATTGAGTGTTACACTGAGAATTCAGAAAGGCTCTGGAATTTTTAGTAAATGGCCATATAAAGGCGAGTATTTGGGAGGGTCCCAACCAAGGCAGAGAATGCCAGTATTCTTGTAAAATGTGATCGTGAATCCCTTGAGCCAGTTGCCTGCTCCCCCTAATAATACATCACGTTCAATTTACTTTGAGTAAACAGAGGTTGTACTTTTAAGGAAAAATAAACAATGTTGGGGGTTTGTTCCAAATGTGGATAGCGCAAAGAACTGAAACGAATTTGGGCTAACATGTGTAGGTGCTGAAATTTGCAAAGCTAAAATATCCGCAGTTCTACATGTTTAGTCGATTTTCCCCGTTCTTCTGGAATGGTAATTTTTGCTTCTTAGTTAGGTCACGTTCGAATCAATACCTATTTAATTTACGGGTGAATGTCACGAACGCAATACCATCCGCCGGATCTCATCCGACGACACTAAGCGAATCATATATCATTTATAGTAAGTATATAACACGGAGCTGAGAGAATACGAGAATACTCGACTCAATTAAATAAGGCCATTAAAAGGAAGTATTTCAAGCCGTCTATGAATTTCCCGGCAATACTCCTATTTTATGTCCACCAAACTGTATGGGATTTATCATCATGGGGTGATTTATGGGGTTTAAATTAATTTCGGCTATAAGTAACCCTCGCGATAATAGTAACAAGATATAAAGGGCTGGACGTAGATTCACTAACATTTCAATTTATTACCCCATGTTTCCAGTCACTTTATTTGGATTCAAAATTGTCGTCGTTTTACCCATATTTTTCTTGGTTTTCAACCAAATACTCTAATCTAAATGGCTAAAAATGTGATTATTTACCCTAATTTACCCACTTGACTTGCCTGAAACTAATACATTTTTTCATAATCTGTCGGTGTATGACACCCATTTTATCATTTTAATTAATCTTTGCCTCAGCCGTTTCTATTTGAATATTTATATTACATTATTATTTTGACTATCTTCGTCCATCAAAACCAATGTTATTAATCATGAAAGTTGAAATAATCCCCTAAATCTCCAATAAATCTTAGAGCTTAATGGCTTTTCGGTTTGAAGCTTGTTAAATTATCTGGAAATTCCATAACTCACTTTTCGACGTGCATCTATGCACACTAAAGTATAGATAGTTGATAAAACTCATCGAAAAGTTTGCTGCTTATCAAATGTTGATTTTAACGATATTTTAAAGCCAATATAATGTAAAAAGTTAAATTGGTGCAGCATTCAACTTATACCTAATAATGTATTCCGTTATTAAAGCGCTTGCGGTAATTGCGAATTTAAGCTGAAAATTCTTGTAAAAGGTTTGCATTTTATTACTTAAAAGTTTAAAGGGAAGGAGTAAAGACAGCGCATCTAACCTGCATAATTTTCGCCACTAAATAACCAACTTCTTCATCCATATTTATGTTTTAACGGTGTGGGGTTTCCCAGGACCTAAACTTCCATAGAAAAGAAATCTATGATGGAGCTTTTAAAAACATACATGATAATTTAAACTTCGCAGGGATTTTTAAGGTTCATTCAAGGGTTTCTTTCGCGATTTCTGGAAAAAATAATACTAATTGTAAATGCAACACACAGATAAACAAGTTGGTTTAAGTTTTTCAATTAAAAGAAATGAATATTTCAAATTGTTTTTTTACACGTTACTGCCATTGCAAAACTCTTATAACTTCTCCAACTACAGAAAAAAATCGGTTTTAAAACATTTGAGTTACCAAACAGTTTACTTTTCGAAGTTCAGTTATTAAGCAAAATGTACTTTACATTTATTCTGATCTCCTTAACCTGCTTAATTTTCGCCAATTGGATACAGAATAATTGCTCAAAGTAACAAAGTATTTGAAGGTTACAAAACTAATAAAGGCAAAAATTACGATAAAACAATTTAGAGAAAGTTAACAAACTAATTATAACAAATGTCGGATACCGAAGTTTATATTTCATTTTACGCTCAGCAGGCAAAAAAGTCAATTGCATGACAAATGATGGAAAATAACTGTTTGTTTGTAGTTTGTATGTGCGAGTTTTGCTCATTTTGTTTCGAATGCATAATAGTTTATCTTAAACCTTTAATTAGAACAAGCAATATTTACAAGTTATTCTAAAACTGTAATATTTAAATTGTTTTAATTTTTCCAATTAAAAGTCATTCTTTATATTTAGTTATTTAAATAAATATCTGCTTCTAATTCTGCAGGTGAAAGTGCTAAGAAATGAATGAGCAAGTGAACACGCAAATGCTGAAGTTTGCACTTTTCATCAGAGCAAGTGTTAGTTGTTTTGTCCTATATTATATTGAATTTATTCATAATTTATGTGGATTCCAATGACTTAATGTAGAATTAAATAGTTACTATTTAAAAGAAACAATCAATACACACGCCCCTAAATTTTAAAATTATTCGTGTAATAATAAAAGAAGTAAAGTACAACTGAGCGTCGTATCCTTCTAAGTTATGGAAAACAATCTAGTGAAGTTTTCTTTACTGAAATTGGAATATATTTTAAGCAAAAATCCATTTAAGAAATTTTGAACCAGTTGCACTCATAGAGATTAAATAAAAATAATACCCAACAAAAATGATCAAAATCAGAAGTGAGCGTGAGCGTCATATCCTAACAAGTTATGACAAACACATTCCATACTTTATTTTAAAAATTTGTGAATACTTGCAGAAATAAAACAGTTCGTTTAAAAGTTAATATTACAAAAACTGGATGAAAAATCTAAAACGCGCTGAAAAATCCAAGTTTTTTTGAATTCCCTGTAATAAATCCTTAAAGTGCAATCCAGCTTTCCGAACAATTTCCCTTGATGTTAAAATTGCTGGTTCTCAACTAGTATTGACTTGCGTTTCCGAAATGTTCAAACCAATCTACTGTTGCTTATCATTTTCAAGTCTAATGCATTATCTTTGATCGATTTCACAATATGAGTAACCGTCCGGAACGTAGGGATCTGAAACCCAATCATAGACATTTTGTTGATCTTTCTATTTAAAGAGGGAGCCGGAGACCCTTTTGCAAATAAGGCTGTTATCGAAGGGTCTCCAAGATGGATATCTATTTGGATTAGAAACCGAAATACTATCTCATCCTATGCCGTACGTTTTAACCACTCTGTTAAGTAAAATAAATTGATGTTTCACCTCCCGAAGAGGGTCCACTCCTTGAGGTGCTCGATGTCCTTTTCTTGTTTACGATAATTTCCATTAAATTTTCAGTAGTTTTTTTAACAGCAGCTGAGTTCACAAATTCGTTCTCTTTCTTTGATACTACATATAGATCAAAGACTTTTCTAATTGATGGTGTTAAAGCCGAAGGGCGATGCTGTCGTAAGCGTGAAAGGGCAGAATAACCGAGTGTACATTAAAGTTACCTTGTGTCTCATTGCCTTTCGGTGTCACCAAACATCCCTGTTAATGGGATGTTCCTGGGGATGTTGAATAATGGACGCAAGAGGGTTGAAGAAGCAGAGGAAAAGTTTGTAAAATGGATGTTTTTGGGGAAAATTCGCCAAGGTGTGATAAATAACTGATAGAAAGAGAGCTTATTTGTTAAATAATACAATCTAGTAAAGTTTTTTTAAATCTAAAATTAATTAAGGAACTACTCTTAGTTAAAAGTTAATAAAATAAAGATAAAAATTTGCGATTTTTTTAATTTGTAAATAATCTTTTGATAACATGGAAATCGATCCCAATCTCACAATATTCTCTGCAAATAGAAGATTAGCCAATATTATTTTTTTGTATATTTTAATTTAATTATGATTAATTAATAAAAATTAAAAAAAAAAGTCAAAACTGCACAAACAACGATGGTTTTTTGCTACTTTCAGTTTCAGTTCCAACAGTTGTTTGCCATAGATTTTTGGGTAAATAATTTTTCTCTTTACTTTACTTTGGCATTGGGATGGTGTGAGTAGTAGTATTTAATATAAAGGGGACAGTTCCAACTCGATTTAAAAAATTTGTGCAAACTCCAAAAAATACGTGCTGAATTTGCATCTTTCAGTGCATATAAAGCGCGGTCTAGTGATTTTGGCCTAAATCGTTTTTGTTCTTGTCAAGTTTTTGCATAATAATGTTTTGAAAGCGTCTCTTAACATGAGAGAAACGCCGGTAAATTCCAAGTCGATTTGAAATATTCGTCAAAACTTCCAAAATTGTGTTCTGGGTTTGCAACTTTCCGATAAATTAAAGTGTATTTTATTGAATTACTTCTAAATTATTTATATCTTTAGACCAGCTTTCACATAAAGATTTTTTGAAATTTCTCTTCACAAAAGAGTCACCAGGTATGTAATTCTAAATGGATTTCAAAACTTTGCCAAAACTTGAAATAATGCATCATGAACTTACATCATACAATGAATATAAACTTAAGTGTGTTTTAGTGATTTTCGTCGAAAAGTCGTTTGTCTTCTTGGTCCAGTTTTTGCGTAAAAATGTCTCTTATTGTTAAAGAGGCCAATTCAAAGTCGATTAAAAAATTCGTCAAAACTTCAAAAATTACGCTATAAATTTGAAACTTTCAGACCAGATAAATTTAAGCGCCTTTTATTGATTTTGACCTAAATTATTTCTCTATTTAGTCCAATTTCTGTATAATGATTATTTTTAAGTGTTAATTAACGCAAAAGCGACGAATTTAAAAAAATCATAAAGATTCCAAAAATTACATTTTTCACTTGCGACTTTCAGATAATGTAAAGTGTTTTCTAATGATTTCTGTCTAAACGATCAAATCGATTTTAAAAATTTCTTTGGTGGCCAGAGCATTTAACTTTAACCTGAAAGAATTGCTATTATAAAGACAGACTCATTTTTTCCTTCACTTAAAAAAGTTTCTAAAACATTTTTAAACAGTTAAGTTGTTATCCATTTTGAGTAGTTTTTCTCAAAACCTACTCTATGAAAGGCGCTTGATTCAAAAAAACGATAAGTTTGTTCTTTCTTCGAAAATGTATTTTATGAATCATTTCATAAATATAATCTTAAACACAAATACTAGATTTATATTGGGACAATGGAATTTTTTATGTTTTTATGTGTTTGCGCAAGTTTTATGTCGTAAGTTTCCTCTGAAAAATGTAAACGTTTGATTTGATAGCTAAGGTAATGCAAAAACGTGTAGACTACGCAAATAATTCTATTTATTTGTGTTTTTTTATGGTCAGCAAGTTTGTGAATCAGCAAAATTATGCAGATTGATGCAATGATTGCAAAAGTGCAAAGAAACAATTGTAGCATTTCGGAACAAAAAGAGCGCAAATACCGAAATTAATTTTATGCAAGCGCATAAATATTTCCGATGGTGCTTTCCTTTGCATATGGACATTTACAGTTTTTCTTACCTTAAGTTAAATGGACAATCTTAAGCTTATTTAGAGTCGGTTTTTTAACATTTTGATTAAATAGAACATACGGTGCAAACAATTTTCAATATAGATTTTCTTACGGCATATTTAACTAACAATATGTAACAGCAAATTCTTACCTGTCTGGCCTTTGCCCAAGGTTTTCTCCAAACGGTAAGGCCCAACATATTGGTGCTGAACCTCACCAGAATTCGTGTTTTCTTTCTGCATTTTCACAATTATCTTCCACTTGTAAATATCACATTTCTTTACCACCGCTTCGCGTACTTGCCAATGATTTTGCCCTAATTTTGAAACTTTCCCTCGAAACTACACGATAATTTTCCAAATCCATGATATATCCTTAGCATCGAGCAGTGTTTTTGAATAATTGCCGCAAATTGTCAATCACAGTTGCTTTTTTATTATTACAGTCACGTTTTCAATAAACAATCAGCCACTCACCGAAACTGGAAAACTCGGGTTTTTGTATAAAATCAACCTCGAACTGATCGTTTCTTGTGTTTTTTGGAAGTCATGTTTTCGCTAGTGCACGATAAGGGCGTAGATCGACGATTTTTTGGACATTTCCGCGGATTTCGGTCGGTCGAAGAGCACGATTCAGCAGCAGTCGACCCGCTATAGCAAAGGGTGGTCTGAAATCAATAACTTCGGGAGCTGGTGGATAAGGGTGGAACGCAAAATCCCCAGCTCCATCGCCTGTCATCCTGCAATGCACTTTCTTACCCATTTTACGGGGGAGCACTAAGAATGTGATTTCCTTTATCCACTTTCATACATTTACTTAAACTTTATTAAGACTATAAATAGCCTTGCTATTTATAGTCTTAATAAAGGCGATCTTAATAGGGCGATAATAAAAGAAAAAAATAATTTAATCCGGACTGGTAGTTTGCTTGACTTTTTTGTTCTTGGCACATATTCATTTTTGTGTAAAATTTATTGTATAATCAATAATAAGTTATTTTTTATAAGTTTTTTAAATATTCTCCGCCAATACTCAGAAAATGTCGCGAACGATATGTGAACCGCAAAAAAGACTGTTAACGTTATTAGTCATATAAATAACAATCTAGATAAATGCACCTGATGTATTTAATGATTCAAACTCAACGAAGATTATACCTTTTGAGGCCAAATAATTCTAAGTAGGTAAGTTACAGCAAATTCATTATTAATTCCGTTTCGGTCAAGGAATAAAGTCGCATATCACAGAAAGAATAACAAAACAGTGTAATTTACTTTTTTAATGCCAATGTTTGCATTAAATAGCTAACGAAATTAACAAAAAAATAGTTTTGATTTGATATGTGAAATGTGTTTGAATAATCAAAAGGAACTCGAACTTAACAAAAATGTAAGTGATCGATCCAACGGAAATTTTCCATGTCCTTCATACACTGATTGAAATGTTTCGTGCTCATTATACTAAGAAACAATAACAGTTGATTAGGGAATTCGGCAACAATGACTATTTTACTTCAAATACCGAAAAACAATGGAATTATTTGAGAAATGGGGGAGCTGGCAAGTCAACCCCACGATTTGGTTCATGATGCACGACGCCAAATTGCTGGTTTTACTTTAACGCACCGTAGCGTTCCTGATGGGTATTTTGCGCCTTCAATTAGGTGAAAATTGAACCAACACTCTTGCTGGAGTAGTTCAAAAGAAATCTCCTATTATTAAGAATTTTACGTTTTTATAGCCAACATTAGTTGATATAAACCTGGAAGCACTCACTGTAAATTTTGATAAATTTCCTGGTGATTGTACTAGACAAAAACGTAGACTTAAACTTTTAACTAAAAATTAAAAAAACTGAGAGCTTTAAAATCACTTTGGCATTGCGAAACAAATTGCACTTTTGCTATAACTCCTACATTGAAATGGCATGTCATATGAACAAGATGATGTATCTTAATAAAATCTGGACAATGTTGCAAAAGGATTTGTAACTACAGTTTCTAGAGAAAATTTGCTATAATTTGATCTTATGCCGCATGCTTTAATTTAATAAGTCTAAGACACATATAATAGACCAAGCAGAAGAGTTAGTGAAATGCTTTATACCAGCCTAAACAAGCCATTCTTTTGAACCATCAAAATAACGGTTAATTGGAAAGGTTTAAAAATACTATTCATAAGTACAACTCGTAAGAAAACTTTATTAACCATGACAGGTAGAAAATGGAAAAAACACCACCAACATTAAATCCCGGAAAAATTAACAGCGTAGGAGTACAATGCTTAGCAACTGAACTGGATCGATTTAATCAACGCGAACCCCTGGACCTCCCAGTTTCGTAACAGTAACTTCAAAACCATTCTTCTTCAGTACGCGGATTACCTCCTTTGGATCATACGATGGAGGAATCACCGAAATTACATATCCACCTCCTCCTGCTCCCGTAAGCTTTCCCGATAATCTAAAGCAAATAACAATAAAAAATACAATTGCCAAGCATTTCTAGCTCACCCAAATTTGTCCAGAATTCTGTTGATTTTATCCAGCTTCGGATGCGACACTCCCAAAGAGCATAGAAGACTATGATTTATTTCAATCAAGGTCTTCCATTTGTTAAAGCCGTTGCTCAAACCGGCGCCATCGCCAGCAACTGCAAGAACCAGCATTTTAAGCAAGCACCGATTAATAGTTGTAAAATTTCACCTGCAGCGGTGTCGATTTTTTGAATAACACCCGAAGCGTTCACAGTTAAGTCTTCTAGGGCCTCTAGAATATGTTCCACCAAATGCGGAAAGTCTTCCTTAAGTTTGGCAACTGCAGCAACCATCTTCTTGGTTTCGCGGGGCTCTTTGCTGTTTACGAGTAGTAAAGTCAAAGGAGTGTTGAGCGTTAGATGAGTGGTGGAGTGGTTTTTGCGATATTGTACCAAATTGCCAAAAGTACACACCGTGTTGTCTAGGCCTAAAACTCGACTCGTTAGTTGTCTAAAGTCTGGGGCATTTTTTAATGCTTGCCTGAGGGTGTTCCATGGAACAGCATTTCGCATTGAAAGGCCCAGTCGGAAATTCGATCAAGTTCACCCGAAGTGTAATGAGTTAAAACATCAACGTCGGCTTGTGGCCAGTAAAATGGCTTGAAACCATCTTTGGACACATTTTTCGATCCAATTGTTTTGCGCTTGAGGTAGCTGATGAAAAGGGCTGCAACTGAAATTAATTGCGCCGTGAGCTCCTTAAGCAAATCAACCAGCTACAATACTTACAAGCCACTGAAAAACTAGCCGAGCTGCCAGTACCAGCTCCCATAGAAATATCCGAATCTATTATGATGCGCATGGGGCATAAACTAACTGAAGTGGACGACAATATGCCAGCAAACAAATAAAGGACACCCATAACTGTTTGAACAACTGCTCGGTTAGGGGCAGGATTTATGTTCATCAAAGCTTCAACAGCTACATTTTCCACTATTTCTACCAATGATTGATGATTGACTAACTTTGGCGACTCCCAGTTGAAAGATGAAGGGTGCGAAGTAATTGCTATGGGCTTATCTAACAGTTCTTCGATAAGTTCCTAAAAGATCACAATTCATTAATGTTTCGTATTATATTCGACTACATGTATTTACTTGCAAATCGAAAACGTATTCGAAGTCAAGCGGCAAGCAATTCAAGACCAGCTTATTGGGCAAGTCGATTTCATACAAGTGCAGTTTGGTTCGCAAGCCCAAACTTGCTGCTAATGCCAGCTTTCCGTATACCACTGAATGTTCTCCATGGAGAATTATTTTTCCTGGCGCTGATACTTTCAACTCCACATCTGCAGTTTATGAAACAGTTAGTTGAAGTAAATTCCAAGAATCCTAAACGTACCACTCTGAACATTATAATTATAAAAGCTACTTCTAGATAAACTCGCCATTACTCTACTACTACTGTTCTGCGGCCCACTGCTTGGTAGTTAAAGTTTGCAGGGACAACGCATGAATCTGCGCCAATTCCTCTTTTAAAACGTTATTTACCAGCCTAAAAATATGGAAAATGCAGGCCAAATAACCCAGCGAGTGTGATATTTACCTATGTCGCTGCAGCAATGGCTTTCCTTCAAATTTATCTGATACCACTAAACAAGCGAACTTTTCACCACAACCACCAGAATGATCTACCACGTCCTAAAATAGAGAGAAAAATTGACATTATTCAGGTTCAATGGGAAATAATGTATGTGCATATTTTACTGAAGTGCGAGGGAATTTATCAATTGCGAGTACTCATGGAACGTTTTCGAGTAATTTGTTCAGTTCAAGTCATCTTCATTTCAAGTTTCATTTGATAAGACTGTTTATCGTCAACAAATTTTACAGTCAATTTGTAGATAATAATTTTTTTGTTTATCGGGGACAAATGTTCTCAATTTTATAGTAAATAGCTAAGGTGCACCAAAAACAGCTAAAATCCCAAAGTAAACTAATTCTCAAATTTCTACAACTAAGTCATATTTTAAATCGTCAGATTAAACTGTAAATGTTTTACTTGTGGCCGTTGGTTGCTTATGAATTAGTAATTTCGGCTTATCAATACCATATAAAAACCCTCTAAAAATTATAAGAAATATTTTAAAACCCTTAACTAACAGCAGCGGACTCATGTTATTTCCATATACTAAATTAATACAATTAGTTCTTAATTGTTAAAGTGGTAGTTGAATATAGAGGGTGTTCGTAAGTTTCATCATTATTTTCATCATTTTTATGACCAGGAATAAATGGAATGCAAATAAGACCATCCACATTTGCATCAAACAATGAATGAAATTGTTGAGTTTGTATTTAATAAATGAAAATAGGACAATTAACAATGACAAAAATGTCCAGCTCTTAAAATATATAATAGAACAATACAAAACAGTATCAAATAAACCAACAAAAATACAATCCAAAAACAGGATGCAGACAAAAATGCAACCAGCGAATGATGTGATACTATTAAAAACACGTCCATTGCAAAAATGGAAATAAAACGCTTTCAAATAAAAAAAGCTTTAATATTTGTACCTAACATCTATTTCTATTGGCTACATTTGGTCCGTAAACTAAATATTTCATTCATTTAATTCAGTAATCACAAATATCCCGATTGCAGACACTTAAAAAATACACATCCACGTTCGAACAAGTAACAAATTAACAACAGTCTAAACTATGAACTTTTGATTTTCATGTTTTTAATATCTCCAAAATCCTGCGGTAAACTCAGTTGCTTCACATTGAAAATGACGAAAAATCCTAGGAAGTGAATGCATGAATACACGGAAGTGATTAAAGGAAACAAGTCCGGGTAGCGACTAGGGGGATCCAAAAGTAAACCAGCCACAAATATTATTGCACATCCTAGTAGAGAAAATAGTATTGTCATGTGAAGGATTAAGGCGAACAAAGCATATTTGTTCAGGAGGATTTTATGATATGTAAGCATTATTACAGTGCCTAATTTTAAGTTTTTGGCGTTTTCGATGTTAAAAAGTATCACCCCAATTCTTCGATAATACTCTACCAGTCCTTCGCTGCTATTGAACATGCTTTTAAAAGAATGCTCAATGCAAACTCTGAAAGAGACAATGTAAAATACGACTAAGGCCGCAAAGGCTATAATGAGTTGGTCCTTCACAATCAAAGGAGTCATGCTGAAAACCGAAATACATAAAAACCAAAAACACATAAAAGGGGCATATGGAAAATACAAAAGGACTGGAATGGCTGCCAAGAGGATGGTTTTTTCGTGCACTTGATAGCTGAACAAGAAAAACCCGAGAGAAGAGTTAATTAGAGCTAGAACGAACTTTTTAACATTGGGGCGCAAGAACAGGTCGGCACTTGAAGGTAATATAGCCGACAAAGTGGTAAAGAGGCAAATCCGCATCATTTGGAAATTATCAAAGCGACTTTTGAATTTAAAAACTACATTCAGTGCGCACCAAATGTTGGAGACTTTGTCCTCAAAAACCCCTCTAGCCACAGGAAACTGCCGATGTAACACTTGACGAATATCCTCAACGTCGAAGAGAAATGGTAGCCAAATTACGATAAACATTATTACCACTGTAAGGCTTATTTTAGTGAGATACACCAAGCCGGAAATTGCGGTTTGGCCAGGCTTAGGGATGCAAGTGCTTAATAAATAAAAGAAAAATGGTAGAGAATGATAGAGCTCCATCTGCTTGTAGTTGAGAGCCAGGCAGAAGAATATTGAGGCGGAAATGTGCCAACGGTGTAAAATGCAAATGACTGCAAATATGAACAATCCTAGAGATATGGAATTATACTGGAAATGTCCATGATCAATTAGGATGAGGCCTGGATAAAGCAGTCCCAGAACTACTGAGAGTGAAGGGTCGAATATTTTGAGGCTCAGTACCGACTTGTTGCCTTTCTTCTGGTTCTTTTTAGCTTCTTCTTTCCTCTTGTCCAGTTGCACGCAAGTGTAATAATATAGTATTAAAGCTGGGATGTAGACTAGAATGTCACCAACTAGAACGGTGGTTCTCATGAATAATTTGTGCGTTTCACTCTCATGTCCTCTTGAATCGTGCAATTTGGTGAAGTTTCCATTGATAAATCCAGCTACTGCTCCACATAAATACATGTGATATGCTGTGAGGGGAGGATAGTCAAGTCCCCAATAATCCAGGTGATTATCTGTGGTATTTCTATACCAATCTTTCAGGGGGAGATTTGTGGTGATTTCCATCCAGTGCCTTTGAGCTTCGTAGTCGCCGTACATTGGGGGTGTTCCCTCGCCTGAATACGAATGTAGCATGGTGCAACATCTCAGGAGAACGGCTACTAAAGTCCCAAAAATCACCAACCAAATTTCACTACTGATTTTGCAATACATGAGCATTTTCGTGTGTTGTTAAAACTTCATGTTTCAAGTACTGTTCGTACTAAAATACGTTCACTGAGCCGCTTAAACAGAGCATGGAAATGTATGTTTGGATTATTTTATGTTTTATCAATACTGATGTGGCAGGACGGTCGGAAAAAACGAGAAAAATATCGATTTTTGAGGGTTAGCAATTTTGACAGAAAATTATCAACTTGAAAACTTACCACATGTGTGGCTTCCAGTTCCTTTTGCAACTTGCTTTCAATGTGTTCTTTCGTTATAGGCATTCTTTTACCGTTAAAAGACCGGAACAGTTTGGTTATAACGGGGAAAACCGTAAAACATTTTCGTGCATGACGGATTTGTAATGCCATTTTCTCAATTTCGGCTGCGTTCCATTATGTAATTGATGGTTTTCCGAAGAACGCAGCACTAAGTGAGCGATCACTTAACTGTCTTGCTTGCACGCATAAAGCGTAAATTAGGGTTTCTCTGTCGTCTCGGTTCAGTTGAGATTTCTATTGTCCATTTTGAGACCGAAATCAATTTCATTAAACAGGGCTATGAGCGGTTTCGAAAAACGATTTTTAGTCACGGTGAAACGTGGTGGAAATTCAAAATTGTACTTGTATTAGATTTTGTTCAGAATTTTAAATGCAGTTTAAATTCAAAAATGTCACTTTAGCGCCTGTCTTCATGTATGTTTAGCATCTTAACGTCTCTGTCTTAACCCAAAAATTGTGAGTTTTGGAGGGACATTTTGTTTACCTATTTTTTTGTTTCTCCCTTAAAAACCACCCCATTTCATAAGTTTTATGATGGCTGACAGTGTGGAAGTCATGGAAGTCGATGACTATGAACCTGGCCCATCAAAACAACGAGAAGAATTGCAATCTAAAAAGGCCGATAACTTGCCATGGTGAGCCCTTGTGAGTTTTATTAATTATTTAACTAGCTTAATAAAATGAGTACTTTTGTAAGGCAATCCTCTATCCAGCTCATGCTCAATCTGATCCTGAGAATTGGACAAAAAAAGGGCGTAATGCATAGCATGTTGGCCTAATGATGTACTTAAGTATACGATGTTCAAAGTTCGCCTTTTGTGCGAAACCTCTCACTATTTCCTCACTTGCGTTCCATGTTTTGAATTAGGATTTTAATTCTCTATCCAACGACAGTAAAACAAACTGTGTAGGTCAAGTGGATCTTGAGATACGACGAACAAGGCGCCGACCTAATTGCGCCTATTTTGCAAATGATTAAAAACCGCACCAAACTAATACCCATCTTTAGCTCTAGGAGCGGTTTAACCACAGCTTAAATATGTTGTATAAGCTGTGGTTTAAGTTCAGAGACACTTTTAAGAGAGCACCTCTAAAGCTTTCGGTCACATTTTGACTTCTTAATTGCTTTATTTTAAAGTATGGCTTTGCTGCAACAATTTCTTGGTTGTATTTCAGGATTGAAAAGTACCGACCGCAAACATTTGAAGAAATCATGGGGAATGAGGACACGATCGCTCGTCTGGCAGTGTTTTCCAAACAAGGAAATGTGCCAAATGTTATAATTGCCGTAAGTTTAGCACTCTCTTAGTGAAGATCGCCGGATAAACATGCAGAGGAGAAATTAATTTGTTATTAATTCGTATATCAGGGCCCTCCAGGAGTGGGCAAAACAACAACAATTTTGTGCCTGGCAAAGATATTGCTGGGACCAGCCTTCAAAGACGCTGTTCTGGAGTTAAACGCCTCAAATGATAGAGGAATCGATGTGGTCAGGAACAAAGTTAAGATGTTTGCCCAACAGAAAGTCACTTTGCCTCCTGGCAAGCACAAAATTATAATTCTTGATGAAATAGACAGGTAATCAACCAAAAAATGATAAACTAATGCAATGAAAATTTGCCTGGTGTTTTAGCATGACCGAGGGTGCTCAGCAAGCTTTAAGAAGAACAATGGAAATTTATAGCAATACAACCAGATTTGCTCTTGCTTGCAATTACAGCGAAAAAGTAATTGAGCCGATCCAGTCGCGTTGCGCCATATTAAGATTCTCACGCTTAACAGATCCGCAGGTCTTGGCCAGAGTTTTGCAAATTTGCCAAAAGGAAAATGTAAGCAAAGGTCCATTAACGCGATTATTTTTGAATTGAATCATTTTTCCGCTTAAGATTCAGTATACTGAGGATGGCCTAGAAGCCATAGTTTTCACATCTCAAGGAGATATGAGACAGGCGCTCAATAATCTGCAATCCACACACAATGGCTTCGGCGAAGTTAATTCGGCTAATGTGTTCAAAGTTTGCGACGAGCCACATCCGATGTTGATCAAGGACATGCTTAAATGTTGCATAGACGGAGACATCAGAAAAGCCTATAAGGTTTTGGCGTAGATAAACTGATGTAATCCTATTTTTTACATGTCCATTTATAGATTGTTGAACATCTATGGAACTTGGGATATGCAGCTGAAGATATAATTAAAAATATATTCAAGGTGTGCAAGAATATGGACGCTGAAGAGGCTCTGAAATTGGCATTCATTAAGGTTGGTGCCTGATTTCGGAATTTTGTTTCCGTTGTTCCGTTTCGGATGTTTATTTTGCCCGTTTTAGGAAATTGGATTAACTCATCAGAGGATCATCGAAGGGCTAACTACTCTGATTCAAATGTCGGGCTTATTAGCCAGGCTGTGCATGGCAGCTAATGGCCTAAAGAAAAGCTAGAATTTGGAAGGTGTAATAAGTAAGATTATTTTTATTGCTTTCATTTTTGTCTGTGTTTATTTTTGTTAAAATGTTAACGGGTATTTTGAGATTTGGAATAAAACATCAAATTGTAGCATGTTGCCTCAGTCTTCCTGACTTCTCCCTTGCTTAATCTGCGTTTATTTATTTACCCGAAATCTCAAAACAGTAATTAGTAAATCACAAATATTTGTTACGGAGTCTAATTATGGAGACAAATTTTACATCAGTGGGGACAGATAAGTGATGGTTGTGTCCGAGGTCGTAATTTAACATAATGGCTGCATATACATGGAACTGATTAGTTCATAAAATTTTACGCCTTCGTAAATTCGTATTTGGACATTGGTAATATGCAATGTTAAGGTCTTATCAAGGAGTGAACTATAGTTAAAAATCATGGAAAGTGTTATTGGTAAGGAAAATAGCATGCGTTATTTGTTTTGGTTTCACATAGGGATTATTTTGCCAAGTGTTTTACGGTTTGTTGGTCTTAGGGAGATAATATTTTCCCATCTTTCGGTGATTGTATGGGATTTACGTGCAAAAGTATATTGCGAAGGTCTTGTTGAATAATAAACATTTTATGAGTACTTCGTATCAACAAATCCATCCTTGGCACGACCGCTCAAGAAAAGATTGGGATTAATTTAGCTTATTTGTGCACTAAAAATAGACGGCATAAACATAAAAAGCAATATTGATCCAAAAATACGCTGCTCCTGAGCGTCCGGTAATTTTTATGGCTACTTTGTCAGTTTCAAAACAGAGCCATAAATTAAACAACATTTGCAATTTACTTAAGTCATTACATCCTAAAGATAATATTATCTCGCCGAATGCCTGTACCTTGTACCTATCTGAGAATTCAACTTGGCGGTTCATTAGATTAGTCTAGTTTTAGAGTGCATACAAGTGTTTGAACATCTTATCATCAATGGCCTGATGAATTAATCAATGTGATTTAAATCATTAAAAATGTTTTAATTGTAAAAGTTTCTTCTGAATCGCCATGGACCTTTACGAAATTATTAATTTTCTAGTGTTTTTACTTCTGCCTTTAGTGTGTTATTTTCTGTTTTTTAAGAAAAATGGAGGAAGAAGCATTTATTCTGGTAGAGGTAAATTATGTTGAAATATGTACGTTGGGTTACCGCATTCAAGAAGTTAATTAAATATGTAGAAGTATAGTTCTTTCTACTTCCCCTAATCCGCTTTAGAATTTTAGGATAATTAAATTTATTTTGTACTGGAAAATCGCTAAATGTACGGGTCGATTTCGATTTATTGAAGAAAATTGCCACCTGAAAAGCGAATATTTTGAGGTTTTTTGCGCGGTCCAAGTACCTAGTTCCTGAAAAATAAGTTATCGGTTCTTTTCGGGTAAAAGTCCCAAAAGCATATCAGTAAAGATAATGTTTTTTGTGTCAACTGAACTCAAATTATGCTGTAGGTAATTAAGATTGTTTTCCAGATATTTTCTACCCTTTGAAATATTACCTTGCCAAGAAAGTGGTGCAAGCGGCGCAAGAAAAGAGTAGAATAAGTCGAGCAAATTTTGTGAAAAATGATATTGAGCCAGAAATCGTCTTTACGTCTCAACAGGTATATTGATGTTAAGAAGCAACATCTAAAACTGATTCAGTTAGATAATTACATACATATTAATATTACTTGTTTTCTTAAATTTTAGTCCAGTCATTTCCAAAGCTTTTCCGGATGCGACCAAAAAGGCAACAGTCTTAAATTGAATTTTACACTGAGACCTAGTAAAATTGCTGATGTGATTTTAATTTTAAAGTTAGCCAGTGGCAGTATTTTTACGTTTCCTGGTACGTTGAGAGTTTAAAAAATCTAAAATCGGCTCTAAAATTGTTAGTTTCTAGATTCCCAAAAAGTTCATCAAGTAAGTGTGAAGGAGCAGATCTGGAAAATAAATGGCTTATCAATAGAAACACTAGAACCCTATCGAAGACTTCGAATAGTGTTCAACGGATTGCTTCAAAATATCGCCTGTAAAACCCCAAAAAAAATTGAACACATTCAGTTTAACTTTATGTAAGTTCCTGCTTCAACCAAAAACGCCCCTTATTTCATCGATGCGTATTTTAGATTTAACTGCTGCTCAGCTCCCAAGTTTTACCCTGAGGACTGCGACACCAATCTGATAACCGAAACGTTGGCCACCCGACCCTGGAAGGATGCATCTTGGAAAAAGTTTCTGTATGTATAAAATTCCACACTGGAATTCCGCTCTTCTTATTTGTCATTTTAGAAATGGCCATCCGGATGGTTACGAACAATTCGGCGCGTTGTATGGATTTGTAAAAGGAGGCCCTTACGCAGAAGAGCAGGTGAATTAACTGTTTTAAATGATTTCTAATGTGCACATTAATTGGGGATTTTTAGGTCTTAAACTTACCTGCCTGTAGAACAAGATATGGAGGAGCCGATGATACGTTTCAACTAGATAGGGAGATAAACATTTTCTTGGCCGAAGCTAACGGCGCGTTAATTCACTTGACTTTGCAGTCATTTAAGGAGGAAGAATCACAGTAACTAACATATAATACTACTGTTTACATTCCTCCCAAAAGACAATTTTTACAGGCTGAACTACGGATATATTTGCCATAAAAAGTTCATGACTGTCCCAATAACTGGCCAAGACATCAAAATTCAACAGCTAGCAAGCAATAAAACCGTTCCAGAGCTTTTCGTCGCGCGAATTACATGTAAGTTGCAATTGCAGGTTTTCTTCTTAATAAAAAAAAAAATTTTTTGCTTAGCTGGTTCTCACGAGTACACTTGCGTTTTTAATGTGAACCAAGCCACTACACTTCGCCAAAAATCTTATTCTTGCTATGAAATATTTAATACTCATGCAGAATGCGGCGTTAACAACAGCCAAGGAAAAGCCCTGTTGGAGTTTCAGTATTACGAAGATAAAAGTGAGTGTTTAGTTGGGAAACTTTATTTAACAAAATGCGTGTTGAAATCGTTTGCAGGCAACCTGAAACCCCGGCAATTGCCTGCGATATTGAGCGAAAAGAAAGTGGAAACTTTGCCCCAGCACTTGGTAGTTAGCATTAAAAGCGAGAGTGCGAAAGTTTTGGAGATTACTGGAGGCAAAGGGAATTCATTGGCTCTTCTCAAATCGTTAGCCTCAAGTGAAGTAAGTCAAACTTTCAACTATAGCCACTTATCCTCTCATTATAAACACATTTTTTTAGTTTTACGTACCAGATGGTTTTATTGTTACAATTAATGCCTTCAAAAAGCAATTGAATGACTGCAGTTTACTGCGAGAAGCGGTTGAAAGGATTGATGAAGCGTTTTGTGGGCGAAGCGATGCTAAAAGGGAGGAAACGTGCGATTTGTACGTAGCTGATTCGGTTAAAACTAACAGTTTTTTTCTGAAAATTAAGTTTTTTTAAAGGGCGGTGCGCCTTTTCCTAAACGAGCCTGTTCACCCGGACATTGCCAGCGATATTTTCAGGCATTTAAATGACGTGAAGATGGACACAGCTGAAGACGCTATAGATGTTTTCAGCTGGGCAGTGCGATCATCTGCAATAGGTACTGATTTGCACAAAAAAGTTATTAGTTGATAATTTTGAAAAATCCCCAGGAGAAGATTCTGAAGAGCTTTCAGCAGCCGGACAAAATGAGACAATTTTAGGTTGCGTGACTGAAAACGAAGTGCTGAAAGCGGTATCGAAATGTTGGGCTTCGCTTTTCACCTACCAAAGTGTGAAATATCGATGGTAAGGATGGCAATGGTAGAATTAAAAAAAAAAATTGTTGAAAAAACTACTTGTTTGCAGGCAACATGGTTTGCCGGTGAAATCCCAAATGGCTGTAGTGGTTCAAAAAATGGTACCTGCTGAAACTGCAGGAGTTCTATTCACTTGGCATCCAACGACATCCAATCCGTCGCAAATGGTTGTAACGTCCAATTTTGGACTGGGAGAAGTAAGCACAGTTTAAGCCGGTTTTCCAGAGTAAATACGAATGTTTTTTCAGAGTGTGGTATCGGGAAACTCCGAGCCAGATACGTTTATTTTGAATCGAACTCACGATGGAGAAGTATCTTTGCTCGATCAAGTAATTGGAGCTAAGGACAAGGTAACACTCTCACAAAGACAAAGATTTAACATTTTTAATACTCCTACTGTTTATAATCTTAATATTTTGTGTTTAATTTTCCAGGTGCTTACTTTGACTGAGAACGGTGTAAAAGAAGTATCGTCTCCCGAACTGCTGGATGGAAGTTTTGTTTTTGTTAACGGAAAAGACGGTACGTTTAGGCATTTTCTGATAAAATTACTAATTACTTATTGAGGATATGGATTTCAGTGAGCGAAAATTGGAGCCTAGGAAAAGAGCAAGTTTTAAAACTGGGTCGAGTTGGAGTGATGCTTGAGCGAACCTTTGGAGGACCTCGAGACATTGAATTTGCCTTTTTCAAGGTGATCATTTATACACATTTCTATACAATTTATAATTAAATTGCGATGTTCTGCCAGGAAATAAATATTTTGTTTATTTCAGGGAGCTCTATACTTACTGCAATCCAGACCAATTACCACCTTGTCTACCTGGACGGATTTCGAATTAGCTCATGAACAAGATTCGGCTGTAGTGACTGAGAACAGTTTGTACACTAGAGCCAATTGTGGAGAAGTAGGGACTTTTGATGTGTGAAGGAAAAAACGTACATTTTTGTTCAATTATAGGTGTATCCCCTTGCTCTCAGCTCTGGAGGGAGATCAATTCTGAACTATATAGATGCGGGATTGCAGTCATATATTTACAATGAGTTGGATCCTTATCTCATGAAGACATTGAATGTGTTCCAGCACAGAGTTTTTATTGACTGCATTGTGGTAAGTCTAAACGCAACTTGATCAGTAGGAAACACAGGAAAGAATATGTTATTCTTTCCTAAAGGAATTAAGAAACAAACAAGAAAAAAGGAAGGTTTAATCTCAATCAAGTTGGGCTCGTAAAGCACGAAGGATTTTTTTAATAGCTAGTGCCTTTGTTTTAGAGTTTATATTTCATTGAGGGACGCGATGAAATAACAATGACAGCCAAAGTACTCGATCTTGCCATTTTTGGGCATCCAGTAATAAATGAGAAGATCAATGCCACAGTTCGGGATCGTTTAGGAACAGTGCCTCAATTCGAAAATTTTTGTAGCGTTTTCAGGCGTTGGTAAGTTCCAATGTTTGCTTGGAACCACATAAATGCACACAAATGTTTTTATTATTTCAGGAAAGACTCTTTGAACGTGAAACAAATAGTCGATAAAAGCAGAGAGATCGTGAAAAATACAGATTATAGAATAAAAAGCGACGATAAGGCCCAAGATATTTACACTCAAATCGCTACAAACAATTCCTGCTTTATGCCCGCCTACTACCATTCTTGTGTAACTTCTGCTTCTGTTTTATGGCAAATGCTCTGCATGACTATACTGGTTGGCAAAGAAAAAGGTAAAAACCTCTTGACATGTTCGTTTTTTACTTAGTGCTACACAAATGTTTTCCTGCAGAATTAACTACCAAACATTATGCGGATTTTGCAAATGTGCTTTCATCATGCGAAGACGTGGAATCTGCTGAAGTGCCAGCCTATTTGGAGAAAATCGCAGGAATTATTAAGGATGAAGGGTGAGTCTTTAAGAAGTGGATATTGAATTTGGCCTGAAACCCGTAATTTAAAAGATATTCAGAGGAGTTCTGCATGATTGACACCCGGTTGGGGCAAACTTGGCTGAAATCGAAATGCCCGACAGCACATAAAATATTTGAGGAGTTTTTGGACAAACACGGACATCGATGCTTGGGGGAGGTATGCTCATATAGAAAAGCATTTTTTTAATTTAACCAAAATGACTATACAATGTTTAGTTTGATCTCATCCAAAAAACATGGGGAATGGACCCATCTCAAGTGATCCCCATGATTCAGGCCAATTCCAGACATTCACAGAAAACTGCCAAGGTGGCAAAGACCATTGACCAAGTGATCAGTGAATTAGGGTCTCCGGTTAATTTCTTATCAAGGTAATAGTTTTATTTAAGATTCCCCCGTTAGTAGAATAATGTGAAAATGCCTGACTTTTAGGCCGATACTAAAATACGCGATATCCAAACTGAGGGTGACTGTTGGAAAAAGAGAGCAGTCCAAATCCGCTCTAATCATGGTTATTCATAAAACTAGACTGGCTTATTTGCAGCTAGCAAGCGCGATGGTGCGAGAAGGTCTCATGCCCTCAGAGAGTCTTATTTTCCATTTGACCAAATACGAAATCAGCCAAGTGATCGCAAGGAGAAATCCTACTTTAATCAGCAAGTAAGTAGTGTTTAGATGCAAACAATTGGGGCAGAAATGGGCAAAACTATGATTTTTTATAGGGCAATCAGACGGCAGAAATTGTACCAGACATGGAACAACTTGAAATTCCCGGAGCTAAACTACAGCTATCCGCAGCCTGAAATGGAGTTCCAGGTGCCGATAGAGCTTCTTCCTGGATCCAAATGTACTGGAACGCCCGTTTGCGTGGGAAGCGTTCAAGCAAGAGCATGTGTGATTACGCAACTTAGCGAAATTGGATCTCTCCAAAAAGGTAAAATGAATATTACTTATTTACGCCAGTAAATTTATTCCCACAATCCTTTTCAGGGGACATTTTGATCACGTACAGCACCGACATTGGATGGTCACCCTACTTCCCAATGCTATCAGGAGTTGTTACAGAATTAGGAGGACTTGTATCACATGGTAAGTTTTTTCTAATGGAATGTTTCTCATTTTGGTGCAGTTTCTTCATGCAAATTCGTTCATCAATCATACAAATAATCACATAAAGAAAGTAACTTTCTGAATTTACTTCAGGTGCTGTTGTAGCGAGGGAATATGGTTTACCCTGTATCGTGGGAGTGAAGAACGTGACTAAAATATTCAAAACAGGAGACGTTGTTTATTTATCAGGGAAAACTGGGGAATTAGGAAAAGTTTAAGCCAATAATAGTATTAATAGTAGTTGTATTATGTATTTCTTTTGGAAAACATAAGTCAGCTATGAATGTATAAAATATTCTTTATTTTCAATAATATAACATTATTATAGGTTCAAGGCGTTTTTAATTTTGATTAGTTCGTGTTAATTTTGGACGGATACTTCACGTACAGGTAATTACAATTACGCCATTTTGCAACTAAGCAAATTTAGGTTCTGTAAAACAGCCCTACAGATCAGCCTAAAACGTCCTTTGCAATATAAATTGTTTTTAGTGTCAGGGGGGTGTAAAATATTGATTTAAAAAGTCTAAAACCTTAATTAAAGTTTCTCGTAACGCTACAATTTGCTAAAACTAATTAGCAACCATTAGCTACTTTGTTACTACTTAGAAAAACTTCTTAAAATCACAGTTTTAGTTAATTGTATCTACATCGTATAAAGGTAGCGTAAAATAGCATTGCCTTCTACTGGATGATCAAATAAAAAGCGTCGGCAATGTTTAGGATTCAAAATAATATGTTCTTTTATTTGATCACCCGGTACGTTATTAGTATATTGCCACTGGTGAAGATTTTTTAAAGTATTATTTTGGCTGTTCAACTCTTAGCAGTAGATCCAACCAAACACGTAAAGCAATTTATTCCCGTGGATATTAATCTTTGCTTACCAACGTTCCTCAATAGTTTAGGTAACTAAGTATCTCGCATTATTTTCGTGTTTAAAACAACTAATGAGCTGCCCTATATTTAGCCGTAATCGATTCCTTGGCAACTTTCCTTGGAAACATTCAGGAGAGTTTTATACAGATGCTATCGCTGTAAAAAGAAATTCAACAGTCTTCGTCTTGGAGGCACTACCGGTGTTTGTTGTTGCTCGATTTTTCGCATTTTGAGCTCATGATTTGATAGTTTATTTCTCAGTTGTTCGTCTAACAACTCCTGCATATCCATCTAAAATCACACATGAATAGTTTTCAAGAAACAACATGTCTTCACTGTATTTTGTAGGGGTTGATTCAACCTGTTTTCAGTATCTAGTGATTTCTTACCTGCCATTGTTCTAACTGTTGGCTCATTTCCACCTTCTGCTGGATCACTTCCAGTAGCTGGCTGTTGGCCTGCATCAGTTCGACTCGTGTTTTGGCCAGTTCCACTTCTGCTTTCGTTCTTCTTTGCACTGCCATGTCCCTGTCATCTCTGGCTTTTACCACAACTTCATCCTGCGCTAACGAAGTATCACTGGCGTCATGTCGAGCTCGATCTCGTTCTTCTAGAGCTGCTTGCAGTTCCACTTCACAAACCGATGCCTACAAGTAAAAGCAATTTAGTAATTAAGTGAGATTCAGTATTTTTATTAAAAGTGAAATTAATTTAAGGAGCGCAAGTTGCTTGACTAAATGCATCTTTAACTCCTACGTCCAAAGTGTCCTTTTGATGTTCAAGCCTTACCTTGCTACTTAATTCGTTAAGTATGTCCATTCTTTTTTGAAGTTCTTCGTCTCTCTCCTGAATTTCTCGTCGAGCCTGTTCCAATCTTTCCAGTAATCTCACCACGTCAGTATCTAGCACTAGTCCTACCAATTCTTGGGCCACCTTAAGGTCAAGTGAATTATACAACACAATGTGGATGTAGGAAAAAATGTTTGCACTAAAAGCTTGTAAAATAACCCAATCCCAATTGTCCCACCCAATCATCCAATAAGTTTTCGAATATTCTTTTACATAATATAGAACTGTTTCACTTACTTCGCTTAAAAGTCCCGGAGAAAAGCGACTACTGTCGTCCAGCGAAGCTGTGGAACAGTCCGAATGTAGTCCGCTATCGTCATCCTGGTGACTCTTCAACTGTTGAACCAGCGATCTGAGCTGCCGATAAACCGACATACATTCCTGGCTCAAAGTGGGCTCAGAGATGTCCATTTCTGCTAGAAGCGATCGGTGGTCACCTTGAGGTAGATCAGGTAAGTTGGTTAGTACCCTTTCGTTAGTAACAAATGGATTCCGATTCTATTACATTCGGGCAATGGGTGTTAAACGTTATGGATACTGATTGAGGAGGAAAATATGTTACAAAAGTGTTTGGATAGGGATACGAAATGTGGTGTAGTCGATGCAAGCGAGTGGGTCTACAGAATCTTCAAAAATAGTCTGAAAGGAAAACTTTTCCTAATAATACTTATGAGTTTTTCTAAAGTGATTTGGCTGAAACTGCAGCTCTCCAATAACATTCGCAAGAACAGGAACAGTTTAAACAGAATCTGCTCTTGTCATCTATATGTATGGAGGAGCATCTGTTTTTACCTAGCTATTAATGCATGCAATTAAACATAGTATTAAATACACCATCCATTCTCACTTACCATTTAGTCGTTCTTCTATGGATAGCTTTTCCTGCGGAAGGCTGTATTCTTTCAAGCTCTGTTGGTATCTGCAAATTTGCAAAACATATCTTAATAAATGGCGGCTTAAATGAAACTTGGCAAAGCCAAACCTTATATCTTGCTCTCTGGCATGCCGTTCCAGTAAAAGTATTCTATCCGAAGCTTCTTCCAGAGCTAGCGCGAGATTGTCCCGTTCCTGGGCAGCTGCTCGCAGTCTTCGCTCTAGTTCTTTGTTTTTTTCTGAGACTAGTTCCAGTTCGTCTCTCAGGCCATCTACGTTGCTCAAGTGTTGCTAGGAAATACAAAAATTCTCTTAATATCTTGATACTATTACATACAGTTTTGAGTCTTTAGGGCAATTAAAAAGTATGGACCTTTAAAACACGAGGAATTTTGCACGTAGGCAGGAACAATTCCGCTTTAGTTCTGTTCTCAGATTAATCAATGAAGTTCGCTACTCACTTGCATGCTAGATTTTCCTAATGAGATCTGTTCCTTATAACTATCTAATTGTTGCCTAAGTTGGGTTTCTGCTGACTGTGCTTCTTTCAGCTGATGGGTTAGTCTTGAGTTCTGAGCAGTGAGTTCTTCCAACTGACAAAAAAAAAACATGTTTCCAAAAATCCGCCAATAATAATAAGTAATTAATTAAAATAATTAACATAAAGTTAGTCTCATTAAACCCAATTAGTCAAGTCTCTTACCAATTGGCTTTTGTCCCGTTCCCATTGTTTAACTAATGTTTCCTTTTGCGCTAACTTCGCCTTAACTTCGCTAAGGTCGTTTTCTAATTCTAATATTCGAGCATCTAATTCCGATTCTTTGCTGGTCAACTTTTTTCGCAACAAATGCCTGTCCTGCTCCACAGCCTGAAACATAAACGAACCGAATTAGACATAAATCGTCTAATATGGAGCGGAAATAAAATATTCAAACCCAATGTGGCGGTATCAGTGCGAGACCTTCAGTTTCCACAAGTATGGAAAAAAAACTTGAGCCCGGTTTCAACATTATTGCTAAAGCGAACCGTCAATAATTTCATTGTCATAAGAAGTAACAACAATTCTAATGTAGATTTCTGAGAATTTGTAAAGGTAAACCAGTGGTAAGCATGTGGGTGGTTGGCTAGGCGTATTTATATCCTTCTGGTGAATTAATAGTTTGGAAATGTAGTTAGCTCGAAGTTTTTGGCTTGAATAAATTTAACAGCAAACTAATGAAGTAAGTTAACTTGGCAGTTACCTACTGGAAAATTCGCTGCAAGAAACCTTTCAAATTAGCTCAACTTAATGAAAATCAGCTCATACCTACGTAAACTGTTTAAAAGATCGCTGTTTTTAACAGCTATTATGCTTATTCAAGCCGAAATTTTAACGAACTCTCGTGAATCTTGGCCGTATTTTCATTCAGTTTAATTAACGAAATTTTATTGGAATATTCACACTTTTCAATTTAAAAGTAAGATGATTACAATTTTCCTTTCAATATATTTCTAATAATTCGAAACATTCTACAAACGTATCTGCTATCAAAATTAATAATACCTAATTATATGCATCATTTTAAAACATTAACGATTTGTTAAACTGCAAAAATGCACTTCTGTTCTGGATTGTTATATAACCTTCGTTTGGCCGGTTGTACAAGGTGATTCGGTTTATATAGGTATCAATCGATGGAAGCCTAAAGACAAAAATATTACTTAAAAATGGAATGAAGGTGTTAATTTATTGTCTATCCCTGCATTCAGAAAAAGTCCAAGTTTATTTCGAGCTTTTGCATTAAATTGCAACAAAAAATACTTTCTAAAATCCTGAAGACAATTACTTTTGGCGAAAATGGAACATAAACTTTAATTTTGCCACCTTAAAGCCCAAATCTATAACGTTCTCGTGTGCTACTCAAACATTTTCATCTTCAACCGTTCTATAAAATAAACGGACTCCAAATGGTGCCAGCCTCAGACACTTAGAAACAGTGCAATATTCAAGTACCTGCAAGATTCATTGAAATACGTTTTCATAAATCCTCCATGTGCTATCAAAGTAGTTGAAAAACACATTTTCGGTTGAAGTCTGGCATATCCAATAATTCCTACGAGTTCTGTTCTAAGAGGCCCAATAAATTTCTCAACTTCGAATTTATGTGTCCCAGTTGGCGTTAATAAATAAACTCCAGCAGTTCATCCTGAATCAGTTTATGTTTGCAGCGAAAAAAATTAGATTCCTTATCGGAAACAGTTAGTTTTCCTACAATCTAAACTTAATTATCTTATCTAAATTTTGTTTGTGTGCGTCCTATGGACGTCTGAAAGCGGCAAAGGAAATCGTACATATTTTCACGTGCTTAAATGGTAAACATGTTGGGCTTCCTGTGTTGCGGATGACGCGATTTCTGGTCTGGTTACGAGAATTATTTAAAACGTTTTCTCTTGTTACTTGTTTAGGTTCTGCAAGTTCAATAGTCAAACCATTCTGACCATTTATAGCAAACATCGCTTCAAACTCGTGGAAATATTTTCCACGGCGTCCTAAAAGCTCGAAAAAATTGCAAAAAGTTACATCAAAGTTAATTAACCGAGCTTCTTTTCACACTTGCAAACACCTAAGAAAATGTTTCAAATTGCATAATCAATTTAATCTGCTTGATCATTTATCAAAGGAATCAACCTAGATATTAATAAATCGAACGTATTATATCAAAGGAAGTCTCATTTCGATCAGTACTTAATTGAAATTGCTGCTTGATGGTGCAATCAAGTTTATTTTACACAAAAAGCGTTATTGCAGATTTAGATTCAACTTACCGGACAGTCTATCGGAAGGAGTGTGTCGACGATATTAAATAACTTAATTATGACGTTCACTGATTTCTACAGAGCAATAAAATTTACATTTTGCATATGATTTATTCGCTTTCTGACAAAAGGTTTGGTCGAGTTAGTGCGGCATGTGTTTTTGCCATCATGCTTTCATTTTCTTTATTGTGTGGTTTTGTAGGCCAAAAATCGCACTAAAACCTGCCGATTTCAATCAACAAATGTGTTACGGACACGAAAAAAATCTCTTAAATGCTTGATGTAACTGTGCAATCAAGCAACTCTTAAACACATCAAAAATGTAGATTTTTTGTTTGTTTCTTTCTTGTTCTTTGCTTATTTGATATATTACTCTCTCGTTTTTTTTTCTTTCATTTTTGCTATAAATACACCAATTTTTCTAGGTAATAATTTAATTGCATCAATGCTTTAAAACTGCATGAATTGATAAGTCGAATTTTAAATGTTGTTTATATTTACTAACCGATTACGAGAACATTATGCAATTACGGGGAAATTACCGACACTTTTTAAATTTATCGCGAATTGTTGACATCCAAAAGAATTAGTCTTTCCTGATATTGCTTGAAACTGTTGATTTTTTCGCGTTTTTAAACCGTCGTGAATTAAAAATCTCGTTGATGAAAAAGTTTAATTTTCAATATGGGTATAGATTGGCAACGTTGTGCTTTTAACTAAGATTTTGCACAACAAGAGATTGATGGAAGTTCGAAATAAAAAAAAACCGAATAATTTAGTTTTTACTAGAAATTTGGTTTAATTTGCATGCATTAAAAAATAATACAATTTCTGAAAAACAAAAAAATGATATTTTTAATTGCTAGGCGATATTCGTTATTAGACTAAGATATTAAACTACGATAGTTCAGGCCAATTTATGCTGAAAATTGCACCGAACCAACACATGAATATTACGAATAATCAGCATCGTCCACATGCACATTACCGTTTTGGTCTTTATTTTCGTAGAATCTACATTTATTAGGCATTTTCGTCTTTTACCAGCAGCCGAGTTTACTAATCTATATTTTACATTTGGAAAGTCCGTTAGGTAATTTTTTGAATTCTGCATTAAAAAGTTGGTTTTTATTTCAAAAAGTTACATTAAATAAATATCCTCGATTTTCTATTAAATCATTTATCTGTTTGTTGCGTAGTTTTGATTAAATTAATTTGTTTTGATTAATTGCCTTTAAAGCGTTAATGCGATATAAAAAAACTTAATTTTATATCGCATATTGGTCTTGTAATAAGTTTTAATCAATCTTAAAGGATTTATTTCAACCGGTTTAAGACAATGTATCTCATCTGGTTTTTTGCTTATATTCTATAAAAATGGGTGAGTAAATGGTTCAGGTTAAAAAGCCAACCAAAACAATCAAAAACTGACTGATCCCATTAAACATCGAATTGTTTAAACAATCGATGGACATTTTTATAACAAAACCAACAGCGGTTTGCAATAAAAACTGAACAAAAGCTCATTTGGAACACGTTTTCGGTGAATAAAACCCACACAGACCCTCGAAATTTACTATTCCAATTAACCATAACAATGCACTCAATTCGATTAAGTATCTTGATGAATGAATGGGCGAAATAATAGAAAAGTGAAACTGAATCGGGGGGCGTGGAGCTACCGAATGAGATCCACAGATACCAGCAGAAGAACTTCCGTTTAGTGTTTCCCCCAAGGTAAAATATCGCCAACTTCCGCAACTTTATTGCTATTGAGATATTGCATGAGGGTGGCAAATGGCCACGAATTTGGGGTGGGTTCTTTAATGATTGCATGAAAAAGTGACGGTGGTTAATTATATTTATCCGGGAAAAACATCAGCTGTACGTAAACATTTATACAAACGTGTAAAATCCTGACTCTGATTTACATGGAAAATACAAATTTTAATTTCCTTGTTGGTGGCAGATTAGCATTTAATCCCACACTAACACCTTATATCAGGATGCACGCAATTTGCGTTAACATCTCGCTTATGCTCCAGATGTGCATTTTAAAAGCCTCTTAATGCACCTGCCCTTTTTCTCACAACACATTCGATATTTTTTTCATGTGAGGATCTTTACCTGCAAGAGATTGAAGATAGTTTTCCAATGCGAACAGAGTATACAAATCCAAACGAGTTTAAAGTGAAGGAAGTGGAATGAAAAAAAAAAATGATTAATTACGAAAATGCTGCTCAAGCCGGATTTAAATATATCTGACTGAAGAACGCGAACCAACCTCAAGAGAGAATTATGGATATTAATGGTTTTGTATCGGGGACGTTATTTGATTATCTCTTGACAATTAGATGCAATTTTATGGACTTTTGATACACTTTACTGCTATTTTAATTTTATGGACCATTCATGTAGGTACGCTTTTTACGTACTTTTCTTTAAACAATTTGCAGCGAAAAAACATGTAAAATACTTTTTATTTTACTATCTAATAATTAGTTTTTAATATTTTATTTAGATTTGACTAGATTTGTTAAAAATGAACGCGCTTGAAGTACGCATTTTTAAAGACATTTGGACAAGATTCTTTAAATTTAATTTATTGCTACAAATTGTTTGAAAAACTGTGCAGCAAAACTATCAAGTCAAAAAAATATAAAAAAATCGCAAAAAATGCCCGTTTCATTCAAAAAACATAAATTTTATTAAAGAAAATTTGATTGATTGAATTGATAAATTTCAAAATCTATTGGGACTTTCTTGAATCAGATTTACCGATTTTGATGGCTTTTCAGCAGATCAAGTTAAAACATCTTATTCGTCGAAAAAGAAAATATAATATTTTCGATTTTTTTTTACAAAAACGATTTTCAAAATGCCTTTGAAGGCAATAGTCTTACATTTAGATTAAAGTGAAAATTAATGTATTTTTCTAGATATTAGCAAATCGTCGCTAATAGTTTCCATTAATACATAGCTTTTTGGGTTTTATTGACCTTTTAACTGGTTTGTTGAACTTTTTTTATTCAAGTAATTGAGTAAAGTAATTCAAATCAAAGCTTATGTTAA